GTTGTAAATCTTACTCCGCTCCAGAGGGTTGAATCCAGGCCTGAGGCAGTTGAGGAACTCATCAAAGCTCAGTTTCCAGTCAGCATTCTCATCAGACAGCTCAATGAGGGCATCCACACACAGACTCCTGCAGAACAAACAGTCAACACTGCTTTTAATGTTTTATTGCATTTTTCAGTGCAATATATTTCTTATAACATTCTGTTAACATCAAAATAATTTTCATGGACACAATCATCCAAGACTGCTACTACTGGAAGAAGTCATTACTATTTAAAAGTAAATTCTCAGTACTACTTCAGTTTTACATAATGACTCTGTCTCCCTCCCTGTGGTTCTCAAGCTGGTAAAGGACATTACCTTTCAAAAGTTTGAGATCGGTAAGATTTTTCAATATTTTTGAAAATAGTATTTTATGCTCACCATAATTATTAGAAAATACAGTGAAAACAGTAATGTTAACAGTTAAAATAACAGTTTTCTATTTTAAATACAAAGCATTTAAATTACTCCAGTTTTCAGTGACACATGATCCTTCACAAATCATTCTAATATGCTGATTTACTGCTCAAGAAATATTTCTATTATTTCTATCAATGTTGAAATGAGTTATGCTGCTTAATATTTTCGCAGAAACTGTCATACTTTGATTCTTTGATGAATACAAAGTATAGCCGCATTTATTTGAAATGAAAATCTTTTCTAACACTATAAATGTCTTTACTGTCACTTTTGATCAATTTTATGAATCCTCGCTGAATAAAAGTATACATTTCACCAAAAAAGAAGGAAGTTTGCAATCAGATAGTATTTATGCTTTCTAGCCACTAAATGGGATTTGATCGTTCACAAAATCATTCACTCCAATTCATTTTCCTCTCTGTTAAGTATTCTACATTCAATCCTAATTCAATTCAAATTCCAAAGCATTACAATGCCTGTGAAATATCTCACAGAGAGAGCCTACAAAGTAAAAAGGACTTCCACGTTAAAATGTGTTACAGATTGGACAGTAATGGACTATGTACTGAATTATTATGTAAAACAGCCAAGCAATTCTGAATTTATATTACAGTCTGCAAACTTTATTACGTATGCATTGGCCATTGAACACCCTCATATATCAGTATCAGCTTTGACCTTTTGAAGAACTCATATCGGTCGGACAACCACAGGAACAGTCACAGTGGTAAATCTCTTTGGGTCTTTATCAGATTTTTACTAAATGCTGGATTTTGTGCCCACTTTTATTGACCAAAATAAAATGCAATCTAAATGCTGAATGCACAAAGTAAAAACAAGCATCTATATGATACCAGCATCTTGTTTTGTCTTGTTTTATTGTGAGAGTATTTTTTTTTTTTGTTACAATGTCCTTATTTGTCTATTGTATAGGTTGTATTATATTTATTTAACTGTATTTATCTGTATTATGTCTACTGTTAGTGTTAAGTGTTAACTGTATGCACCAAGGGTCTGAGAGTAACGCAATTTCAATTCTCTGTATGTATGTGCTGTACATGTGGCAGAATTGACAATAAAGCAGACTTTGACTTTGAGTAAATTGTATTGGGGATAAATCAATACTTTTATTCAGCAAAGACACTTTAAATTGACCAAAAGTGGCAAAAAGAAGGATCATGTGACACTGAAGACTGGAGTAATGGATTCTGTGAGCTTTGCCAACACAGGAAAAAAAATGACATTTTAAAAAATATTAAAATAGAAAACGGTTATTTTGAATTTCAATAATATTTCACAAATTAATAATTGTTTTTATTTACTTTTTTGATCAAATAAATGCAGTCATGTTGAGCATAAGAGACTTTCAAAAACAAAAAAATCTTACCGATCCCAAACCTTTTAAAGTTATACCTGAGTAGGCGGTTGTTCTCCTCTTCAGCATAAGGAGACGTTACATTTATTGCAGTCTCATTATGCTGAATGAACTTCGAGAATTCTGTTGAATCCAGCTGAGCGTCTCCATTATCATAGTTCTGTTGAAACACAAACAGCATAAGTCACACAGAGACACACAGGCATATCTGAAGGTATATGCATTGTGTTCAATGAATCAATATGTTCAAATACACACACACACACACACACACACACACACACAAACCTGGAAGTATTTGAGCAGGACATCTGAGAAATTGGATCCTTTAGAAAACCAGCCGTCAGGCTCCACCTCAGACTGCAGCCATTCAATCACATGCCTCCTCAAGTCATTACGGTCCGTAAGGTAGCAAACAACTAAATAATCAAACAAACAGGCACAGCGTGTTACAATTATACTGTACATCTGTAAACTAAATAACTTTATACCCTTTCATAACATATTTACCAGCATCTTTGGCCCAGTCAGACCCCATTTGAACAGATAATGATTGAAAAAAATATGAATAAAACGAAATGAAAATATAATCACTTGTTCATCTGCTTGAAATAAGTTTAAGTCCCATTTCACATATTTCATTCTGTCCAAACAAAATTGCTCAGTAAATAAACTTGAGTACTGGATGTTATATGGTAGTCTCTAACAATAAAAAGGCATAATTCCACATTTTTAATAGAATGTTTAATGTTCAGTTCTCAATCTAACAGATGTGCATTTACTCACTTGGGCTGTTGGCGATTTTTTCCATTTTTTTCTCTAAATGAGAAGAGACAGAAACCAGGTCTGTGAGTTTCATCAACAACTGAAAACAGGAGCTGCTTTTTCTACAAAGTTCTTTAAATATCTTGCATATTTATGTATTCAAATGTGGCAAATTTTGATGACATTTCTGAGAGGAAATGGCTGCAATTATTTAAATTACTATGTTACAATGACACTTCCTAATAGCATCTATGGTGGTGGCCATGCTATTTAGATATTCGGTATTAAAGAAAACACTATAAACCTGTTAAATGGAGCACATACACACTTACCTACACAATGTCCATCATGGGCAACCTGAACTTTGAGTCCGGTGAGACAGGCATCACGATGCAGGTCACAGTGATTACGGTACGTCTTCCCATTACTGCCACAAACTGGACGCTTATGGGGTTTACATTGCTGATCAAGACACACACACACACACACACACACACACACACAAAGACATTGAAATAAGTGTACATTCATGATATCCATGTCGTTTATTTCAGTGCGGTTCTCAACCAGTGGATCTTGACTCAAAAAAACGAGTCACGGGTCTGTTATAAAAGCATGGAGAAAAAAGCTACATGCAAATAATAATATGCCAACTAACCATGCGGGTGTTGTATAGCAAAAAAACAACAAACAAAAAAACGTTTAAAACTAAGGTGAAAACTCATTCCGAATGTTTTGTTGCTGATGTAAAAAGTTCTGTGTCCAATTCAATTATTTATTTATTTATTTTGGAACCAATTCAATAGCCTACAATATTTGATACAGTGTTTGTTTCAGGGTGGTAAATTACAATTCAGCTGTTTATATATTTACATGTGTATTTCTGTTGATGTTATGTATTGTTGCAGTTCATGGTCTTGGTCTGATTTTTGATCAAAATATTTAGGTACACTCTTAAAAATAAAGGTGCTTAAAAGGTTCTTCACAGCGATGCCATAGAAGAACCATTTTTGGTTCCACAAAGAACCATTCAGTCAAAGGTTCTTTAAAGAACCATCTCTTTCTTACCCTTTTTATAATCCGAAGAACCTTCTTTCGCCACAAAGAACCTTTTGTGAAACAGAAAGGTTCTTCAGATGTTAAAGGTTCTTTATGGAACCATTTAGACAAAAAGGTTCTTCTATGGCATCGTGAAGCACCTTTATTGTTAAGAGTGTAGGTTACTTGTAGGGTCACCACTTGATGACCAAAAATTGAAACCTAGTCTGTTTATAAAACAGTAAGGAGTAAATGTGGGTTTTCCTACATTGGGAAACAGGGTTGCCAAATCACTGGTTTGGGCTACTTTTAAACTGTTGCTGCAGGTTTATTTATTTGTTTTATTTAGTTTTATTATTAATTAATTTTTCGTTAAATGTAAAAGTTTGATATATTTGACTGCAATGCTTGTATACTATATTATTTATGTACATTTGTCCAGTGATTAAACTGAAATAAATATCGAAATGAGACAGAGTAAGGAGATTTTTGTAAGGGCTCTGGTAGGGAAGCCTTTGAACTTTGAAATTCTGTGTAATGTATAACAGTGACTATACAATATGTATTTTAGGCATAGGAGTGGCATATTTATTGTTCTGGTAGTTGGTTTAATTGATCATTGGGCCAGTTTTGTACTGCTGTAGTTTTGATTGAGCAATCAACTGTTTTTTCGGCAGATCTGGCAACCCTGGTGGGAAAGGCAACATCAGTGTTGCCAATTTAGCTACTTTGTAGCTAGATTTAGCAACTTCCCCGCCCCTTTTGAGACTTTTTTCAAAAGTTTAGGGACAAATATAGCAACTTCTTGAACACACCTTATCTAAGTTCTCATCTTGCCCACTGATCTACATTCACCTTTATATATCAGTGAATTTGCCATTATGATGTCATCTAGTGACATTTAGCTACCAGTTTTAGCTACCTTCAATTGAAAGCAGTTGGCAACACTGGGCAACATGTGTATGAGTGGGTATTTTAAGAGTCGCAGTGCATGTGTGTCTGAACACATGACTCACCTCGATACACAGACAGGTTGGTTCTCCTTCTCCTTTGTCTGTCACAGCACATTCTCTCCCAGCTCCACAGAACACATTGGCACAAACTTTACTTTTACTCCTCACCTCCTGCACAAAACACAGACAAAAACAGAGAAATGTGAGCAGGCCTACAATATTTTCATACCAAACAACAACGTATCCAGGATCTTTTCGACATGACAGTGACATTTAGTGTTGTACTTTGGCACTAGTGGTGAAGGGGGGAAACGCTTCAGAAATGATAGCAGTTATAATACAGGTTTATGCTGAAAGACCTATAGTATTAGTACTCTTTAGTAGGCCTACTTAGTTTTAAAAGTAATACTTCACCTAGTCCAAATACTAAACCCCAAACACTAACTAATCTCATTTTTATCGGTAAAGCATGTATATTTTAGACGCAACCACAAAATGGCAGACTATAGCCTACTTAATATTTTAGGCACACTGGTTCACGTCTAAAAATCGTGAGGCAGAATTGTTTATCTCTTAATAAATGACAATCAAGTTGCTGTTTTCTTTATTTGGTAACATCCAAATATCAAATGATCCAATTACACAGACCCACAGTCATACAAAAATGGACTATGTATTCTTGTCCACCATGTTTTCACCTAAATAAACAGAACTTGCTCATTCACTCCCTTCAGACATTTGCTGGCCTTTTGTTGTGCTGTCTGATTGGTGCAGACTGAAGTGAAAGCCTCCCTGACACAGCTCCAGATGGGAGCCAGACCTGTAGACCTTTGCCATCTAATAAAGAGAGTGAATAACAAAGAGTCTGACCATGACAATACACCAGCACATGCTGTCTCTCACTGAAAAACACAAACATATAAAAGCAGCACCACACGACTGCAAGACAGATGGCATTATTTTATTA